AGTCATACAATCTAACAATTGCTAAAAGGAAAAAAATAAAATTATTTTAAAAAGGTTCATACTCGAAAATGGCATTTACATTTTTGGATTCTTCAAACATGTTTTCATATGATAAAACAAATTATTGTGATGAATAACAATGGGATGAACTTCAAAATTTCACTGAAAGAAAAATTACAAGTACAATTTTTGTAAAAAATAAATATTAAGTGTTGATATTTATTGTGTCGATTCTGAAAAAAAGTAACATGTCTTATTAAATTATGCATCTATTCGCAAAAAAAAAAAAATATTTTTCGAGTTTTATTGAATTACTTTTTTTAACTGAAATAACATCTTGAAGGTTTTTCTTTATATAAGTGTAAAAAAAAAAAAAAAAAAAAATATATCACAAATCCCCCAAAAAGTACACATGAGATTGTAGACTTGTCCTTTTCTACCTATCACCCCTACTGACAGAACAGTTTATACCTTTTACGCCTACGTATGGAAAACTTTGACCAATAAAAAACCGTACTAGGTGAATCAACAAATCTCATTGGTTTCTTATCAATAATAATCTTTTCTTTTTCGTTTAAAACAAAAAAATTAAATAAAACTTTTTTGAGCTGATTTTGAACTTTCAAAACATAAAAAGAAAATACCGACTGACCAAAGCAGTCAGAGACAAACATACACAGAGAAATTGCCAACATACTCCACGTCACTCAAAATCACGGCTTTTTTTTTTAAATTTACATCAACACTGACTCTTGCAATTTAAACTCAACCAACTTTGTGGACATCAAATCAAAACCTAAAAACAATTTTTGCTTATCTAAAAGTGAACTATACTCACTACATTATAAAATGAAAATCAACATTCGAACGATTTCAGAAATATTACAGTCAAAAGGTAGACCACTCTATAAGAACTCATTCCTAAAACTCTTAAACATCATCAACTTTTTAATATTAATTAACACAATTCCAGAAAAGACTGTAACTGAACATACAAATTTAAAAAAGTTCAAATTGAAAACCTCAAATATCACACACTTTGCCATACAGAATAAAAAACATATAAAAAAATATCCTGTATTACTTTGAATTGTATTATAAATTTTTGTTGGTTATTTAAATTGAATATGTCTTGTTTTTGATTGTAAATGTAACCCGGATATAAAAAAGAGTTGTCAGGACCGGAGAAGTTCTTATATCCGGGTTTCTCTTATATCCGGGTTTGGTCTATTTTATACATTAACACAGGCTGTAATTTGGGACCAGAGAAAATCTCTCTTATATCCGGGTTACACTGTATTTAAAATTCGTTTATTTATTTGTTTGTGGATGCAGAAAGTCACGCAACCTACACAAATTCCTTCTGATTCACTCAATTACAATTAATTAATTCTGCACATCCCTAACAAGATAATGAAAAAATGGCACCCACAATATATTTCCTCAAAGTTTTCTAATAAAACAACCTATTCAATATCAATTAATGTTTAGTTTAGGTATAGAAAATTTCATTTGAATCTGATTTGGGGAAAATATTTTAAAACAGTAGTCAATTTGTTTGCTTTCATTTCGAAAAAATGCATTTATTTTGCTGTTAACTAATAAAAGCCTATAGATTAAAAAATAAAAATATATACTCTTAAATTAAGGCTCAAGATCATTTATTTTAAAATATAAATACCAATTTCTTCATTATTACACTGCTAGTATTCCTTATTTCTCTAAATTTTATTTCTCATTTATTTTTCAGCTTTTTTAATTCAGAAGTGTAAAAAATGGTTTTGTACAGTTTTTTTGTTTTAAACCTAAAAGAAAAAAATTTTAAATGTGCGTAAATTTTTGTTTTCCATTAAGTTTAAGTAAAAAGTAAGCATTTTAAAATCCAGTTAATTAATCATTTAATTTATTGACTTCGAAATACATCTTGAGGACAAATATTTTATTTTTTTAAGATATTTTTAAATTTGTTGTTTAGAGATTTTTCGTCTAGTGATCCGACTATTTATTACGTGATGAGTGAACGTGCCAATGTTTTAAAAATGCCTTTTAAAATTTGACTTAAAGAAAAAAATTTGCGTTTTTTACTTTATTTATTTAAAGTCCGTGGCAGTACATATCTTTTAAGTGATAAGTTTTATTTAGGTATTGCTTTGGTTTCAATAAAATTTGCATTTATAAAATCTTGGTCCCGTATCATAGATTCTTGTAGATACAGATTAGTTATCAAGAAATTTGAGAATTTTAAACACAAGGAACTTATTCTTGTCTAACACCGCAGAATTTTCCGGCTTAACATTATCATGCGAAATATTTTCTCAACAAAAGTAATTTCACATTTATATCGCGATTTTCTGTTTCTTCATAATATAATTCCTTTCTGTCATTCGTTTCAACTTCAACATTATTATATGAACTGAACAAACACTACAAAAATCGGTGAAGTTGACAGAAAAATCCCAACAAAATTGAAAAGTTTTCTTGATGCATTTTCTCTTTTCTGATTTGAAAGGTAAGTGGAAGAATCGAAATAATTTTGATAAAAAAGAAATCGCTTTTTACTGACTTTGAATCTTCTTGATTTCTCTCTTTGTGTTAGCAAAATAAAAATGAAAATAAATTCAGCTACGATTTCATCATGACAAAGATATTTTTTGTATTAATGAGAATGAAAGTTTATTTTATTTTTACTTTTAAATTTTTTTAATATCGCTTTGAAGTTTTTTTTCAAGATCAACCACAGAATAAACAGTGGTTTATGTCGGTAAAGCAAAAGAAAAAAGATCACCTTTTTTTTTTTTTTTATTGAATATCATATTTCGTTTTAAATATGACTATTATTTTGGGTTTTTTTAAATTAAAAAAAAATATCTATATTATATTCGTTTAAAAAGTGTTAAAAAAAAACAACGGAATAAAATTAAAAATTACAGAACTTAAAACGTTTTTTTTTTTTTCTTTTTTTGCTGAAATGTTTTTAGCCAAAAAACTTGTTTCTCACTATCAAAAGAATTAAATAAATTATAAAACTCCACAAAATATCGGATTTTAATAATTTATTTGTCTAAAAATAATATTGAATGATTATAGCAGAAGATTTAAAAACGATTTTTGTAAAAAGAAAATAACAAATCGTTTTTAAAAATAAATAATTTATTTTTAAAAACGATTTATTTATAAATTCATTTCATTCCTTTTCCCACGCTAAGTGACTAAACCCAACTAACTGGAATTGGAACTCTTATCTCACCTTAATATTTCCTCAACATTGGGATTATGTACTGAACTATACTTACAAAGTCGTACACTTTCCTCATGCAATAAACACGTACCCACCACCAATTTAACAAAATTAAGAAAGGAAAATATCCGATTTTATTTGATTTTACAGTATTTATTCATTAATGAATGGAATTTTTATTGAATCTTTTTTGTGATGTTTGTTATATTTTTTTCTGGTCAGTTACTTGTAACAAATTTATTCAGTTTTTCATTTAGATTTTAAAATGACATTCTCCAAATAGTGGCCTCTATTTGACATACACTGTTGTAGTTTCAAACTAAATGAAATTGATTGGAAATTAGTGTTTTTTTTTTTTTGGTTTTTTTTTTTAATCTCTAAAAATGGCTTTTTAACCATATTTATAAATCTATCAGAACCACATAATACTCTTTATTAAAAAAATATCTAAAAAATGAAATATATTTTGCTGAAACTTTGAGAAAGATTAGCTGATTTGAAGTTCAATTAATTTAATATGATTTGAAACAAATATTGTAGTTTAAATATTACAGAAAGCATTTTTATGAGGTATTAACAACTGTCTCAATAGACATATGTTTTTTTCTACAGGGGACATGTCTGTAAACATTACTTGATGAATGCCTTTTTTATGTAGTGTCCAATATATGCCTTATTCATAAAAGCAATTAGCTTTTAAATGATGTCTTGGTTTTATTGTATCTTTTATTGTATGATTCAGAACAGATTTTTGGTAACTAGGGGTCCTTAAATTCTCCAAGGACTTGTTCTTATAACTAATATAAATAAGTTCTATAAAATCGATTTTCTTGAAATTTTATAAAATGAAATGTGGGGGTAACAGATGAGAAAAAAAGAAATAAAAACTTTTCTAAAATAATTTAACTGTGAATAAGTCCTGAAAGTTTCATTAAAATCTGACAATTATTTGATTTTTGCAAGGATTTCCAAATCAATGTGTTTTTCACCACAAAAAGTTGCTGAAAATTCTGATTCTAATTTATGGTCACCTGCTGATGCATGAAAAAATTTTAACTAAAATTTTGTAGGTTCTAAAAAGGATTGAAAAAAATATAATTTAAGAATCAAAAAAACCTTTGGTCTTTTTTCTCAATAAAAACAAAGAGTTTGATGATCAAGTTTTGTTATTAAGTAATTTTCATCAGGCATTTACATTTTTTTTCGCAAATTTTAGTAGGACCCATTTATGTCATTAAAAGGAAAAAAATTAATATGTTAACATCAATGCATTGTTCAAAATCTTCAAAAAAGAATTTTAAAAAGTTAAAACTATTTTTGTGGGGAATTGCTGATAGACAATTTCAATAAGACATTGTATATTTGTCTTTTTCCACAAGAAATAAAAAAAAAAATGTCTAATGTATATGTTTGTTGAAATGTATTTTTACAGTACAATTTTAAAACTTAGTTATTAGCTTTTGCTGAAAAACTTAAGAATCAAAAAATGCAAACTTTAAGGAGATTTAATTGCAAACATTCTTTAAAATGTTTTTTTTTTTTTTTTGGTGGGGAATCATTTTTCAATGGATTTTTTATTTTATCGAAGTTCAAAAATAAAATTTCAAATTTTGTCCTTTGACTAATATACTGCAATAATGTATAAGTGATGAAATTTTTGTTAAAGTCAGATAAATCCTTGATATTTGGTTATTTTTTCGAAACATTAGGGTAATATTTTCATTCATAAAAAGTGAAAATAAATAAAGAGCTCACATCCAAGCTTACAGCATCTGGCATTCCCAAGCAGTCACCCATCTAGCTACTGACCAAGCTCAATGTTGCTTAACTTTGGTGATCATAGGGAACGGATGTTACAACTTGACGTTGCCGTAACCTAACATTTACAGTTTCCTCCTCAACATTGGGCTATATATTTTAATTATGTAACTACTTACAAAGTCGCACACTTTCCTCACGCAATAAACACGTACACACCACCAATTTAAGAAAGTGTGCTTGATGTTTGAAGGTGTCATTTTGTCATTAACAGCAAAAATGAATCAAAAAGCAAATGTAAACAATTATTTCAATAAATTCACATTTTTCTAGCTTATTTCTCTCTATAATAAATTTTCATATAAAAATAATTCAAGACCTCATTGTGCGCAGTGAAGTATTTGAATATCAATAAAGTTGCCAAATAAAATTGTAATGTAATATAGATTTTAATCTTTTTTTTCTCTGATTTCTCTTTGTTATATTCTTTTCATAGTGTAAAAATTCAAAATTATTTATTCAGTTTCATTATTTCAAATATTTATAGGCAATGTTATTTTTTTTTTTTCTTTGAAGGAAACAAGTTTCTTGATGATGGAAGGTTTTGACTTTGTTTGCAATGTGAAGTTTTCAAATTAGGGGCAGAGTTGTAAGTAAACTCGTTTAACCTTTGAACATGTTGGTAGGTGAGGACATGGATTAATGTAATTTTATTATATTTTAAGTAATCAGTAAGTAATGTAAAATCTAGTTAATTCTTTAAATTTACTATTTCTCATCAAAACAAATATCTGTTATAGATATTGAATTTCTAAGAGATTTTTAAAAAGTTAACTTTTTCTTTCCTTTGGCAAATTGAAGTGGGTGGAAGTGAGTTTGATTTTATTCACTGTTTTTTTTTTTTTTTTCTTTTTCTTTTAGATTACCTTTCAGCTATTATCTTTCAAATAAAACCAAAATTTAAATTATTTAAAATGTGTTTTTACACAGTTTTTTTTTTTTTTTTTAACCCAATACTTAAAAAAATTGCTACCTCTAAAAACATTAGCTTTGTGGAGGTAACAATTTTTTTAAATATTGCAGTTATTGTTTCAGATTTTAATTTTTTGATTTAATAAATGTATCAAATTTTAAATGTTAGTATAAAAACTATTTTTGTGGGGAATTGCTGATAGACAATTTCAATAAGACATTGTATATTTGTCTTTTTCCACAAGAAATAAAAAAAAAAAAAATGTCTAATGTATATGTTTGTTGAAATGTATTTTTATAGTACAATTTTAAAACTTAGTTATTAGCTTTTGCTGAAAAACTTTTAAGAATCAAAAAAGTTGGCTCATATCAACAAACTAACTTGTTCCACTTGTTAGATGCTTTCCTCTAAGACAGTATCTAAGATGGTATATATGTTGGCTGGAGTCTCTCCGAGATTTTGAGGTTTTATCTAAGATAATCCAGGATGTATATTTCTCTTGACAATGCAAAGCTAAAACGAAAGTACATATTTTCACAGTAACATTTTTTTTTCAAGGAGATGTAAAAAATCACAATTTATATGTATGAGAGCACATAAAAGATAAATCAGTCCTGTGCATGGCACATGATCAGTTGTTGGCATTAGTAGTTTCACAATCTTTTGTTACTTCTTACCAAATCATCAGGGTCAGTATCACCTGTATTTACTATATTTCCTTTTCGTTATATTGTTTGTGCTAATAGGAATATATACTTGAAAAACAAGGTGGATAAAATAAGTAAGTCAGTTCAGTAGTGAGTGCTTCTATTGGAAGGTTGGTTAGCCATGCTCAACAGATCCCAGCTAGTCAGTATTTAGTAGTCCCCCCACGAGGATAGATGTGGCACAAGGACAAGTTTAACATGGGTCATCTGAGCCCATAAGTTCGGCCAAAAATTCCCCGTAGAACCCGGATAAATGGGTTTGGGTCTGTCTACCTCCCCAGATGCGACTCTGCTCTTCGACACAACCTCATTTGGGTTCCTCTCTGCCCAAAGGCAGAGAGTTTGACAGCACAGCTGGAACAGATTCCAGCTAGTCTCTGTAGTCCATTGACTTACAGCTACTTATAGGGGGTGACAAGTTATTCCATTACATCACTTTTCTTATCAACCTCAATAAAAAGTGAAAATAAAGCCTTCTGAATGTCTTCCAGTTGAATTCTTAAGATTCACATCGACATAAGTTTCGTCCATTGTTTTATACTTCATTTTTATAAAAATATTGGCCAAGGTATCTGTCATGCGACATTCAGAGATGTCAGAAGATGCTTACATAAACCATTTTGAATTCTTCAGGCTATTCACTTTTTAACAACTGTTTTCTTGATGGACATTTTTAAGTTTGAAAAAAAAGTGGCTCTAATTTGTTCCACTTGCTAGAATGCTTTGGCAAGACAGTATCTAAAAAATGGTATATATGTTGGCTGGAGTCTCTCCCTGATATTTGAGGTTTCAGGTTTTCCAAGACAAAATTTTCAATGTAAATCCAGCACTGCTATCTGTATAACTGTATTGGATATGAATTATCATTCAATTTCATTTTTCAACACTTTTATGATGAGGTGCTTTTAGGCAAATATTAACAAAATTTCTAGAGACATTTCTTCCCAACATAATATGAATCACCCATCATGTAAATCCTGTAGAATTTTGTTAGATAACTGTTAAACTGAAATTCTTGTTAGATGTGTCTTTTTAAAACTCTTGATGGGGGATTTTACAACTGGTAAATTAATTCAGTGGGAGTAATGGTGACACTTATCTGTTGCAAAATTTTGGATGGAAATATTCTAAAAGTAATTTTCATCCGTTTTTAAATAAGTTGTGGAAATTTATGCATGACCAATACTTACTTGATTTTTTGTAGATGTTTTAAATACTGACTTTTTTTTTTTTTACTGAAATGATTTCTTGGTGCATATTACAATAACTGTTCATAGGTGAACATCTTTTTATGCTATCACTTTAAAAAAATATCTAAAGTCTTATAGAGTAGATACAGATTGTTTCTAGATCAAAATGTTCTTTTGATTTATGCAACAAAACTTTTTATAAAAAATTTTGTGCAGGTTTTTGTTTCTTCTATGCATTAATATCCACCTGAAAAGTTTGACTCATATCAACAAACTAATAATTGCCAAATCCAAATTTCCATCTTCATTATACAATTTGTGATAGAACAAACATTATTATTTGATATTTGAAGATGATTCCTCGTCCTCTCTTCTTTAAAGTCAAAAAGAAAACTTCACTTGGTCATGTTGTAATATATTTGTAGTAATCCATTTCATATTCACATCTTTGTCCTTGAACCTCACAGCTGGCTCATCCAAATGTAATTCTAGCTGTCCGTAATCCTTCTCAGATTTATTATCGTAAAATACAATAATTGTGGCACAAGGCTGAAAGGGAAAGTGGGGTGAAGCTGGTCATCACTAACTATCCTATACCTAGCTAATCTGATTTGTCAACTTGTCCGTATCGTTGAAAAAATTCCCTGATTTCCACCAGAATCTGTCAATACCATTCACTTAGCTGAACCTCAAAATACCCCATAGCCAGCAACAGGGAACCTACCAAAAAAACACCCCATGAGGTAATTTTTTTTTTTTTTTTGTACAAATGTTCGTATACAAATATATAAGAAAATATAAATAATGTTATGAAATGGTGGTGGTGGCTGACTCCCCAAAACAACAATATATATAAGAAAATATAAATGTTATGAAATGGTGGTGGTGGCTGACTCCCCAAAACAACAATATATATAAGAAAATATAAATGTTATGAAATGGTGGTGGTAGCTGACTCCCCAAAACAACAATATATATAAGAAAATATAAATGTTATGAAATGGTGGTGGTGGCTGACTCCCCAAAACAACAGAGTAAAATAACGAAGTATCAAACAGAAAAACAACAGATATTAGTAGGATCTGTCCATCCCACAAAAATAGGAGTGGCTGCTGTATTCTGTCTACCGACATAATCAAGAAGCTCACTGAGAAGGAAGTATAAAATAAATATAAGCATGGGGAAATCAAAGACTGAAGCAAAAAACAAAGTGGGGAGGTTGGGTATCTCGACTTATATCATAACCACAACACAAGATTTCCTCCTTACACATCATCCAAATCATCATCTTAGCGACAGCTAGCAGTGCCAGAAACACCATTCATTTAACCTCAGAATACAGGAGTGACACATTGTCACACAATTTATGCGAGATCCATGTTCACAAGCTTTTTGGGAGTGATCAACAGCCATTTAATTAATATATTCCCCAATGTCTCTTTCATTGGGGACAATGGTAGAAGGCATGCTTTAAATTCAATGTTTTTTTGTAGGATGCCAAGGTCACATAATCAGAGTCTAACGCCACCTAGGTACAGACAAGTCTGTGGTCTGAATAGTGTAACAATCTAACAGACTTACATCGACCCTTCTGACTAATAGTCTATCCAGATAGCTAGATACCTGAATATGGCCAGATATTTGAAAACTTTCAGAATTCCCCACCCGGGTGATTGTATATTATTCTATTGACAAATCCAAATCACCAATCATTTTTAAGATAAGCTACAATCATTTCAACCTTGATCTTCCCTGCCTAATTTGGGATCCAAGGCAGCATTCCAGTCCTCCACTAAGACTAAGCACAATGAATCTTTTAAAGGAACAGTCTGATTTAATATAGAAATTCATGTCTTTTGTTATATCTTTGGTATTTTTGCACATAAACCATAATGATCCAAAACAAACTCATTTTCACTTAATATAAATTTAAATGAAACAAACAGGCTCTTGACATTGACAAGATCCAACCTCACATTGAGGGTATGCTTAACCAGCAAGGAAACACCTCTGATCAGTCAGTCTCAAGAACATATACTTTGAAATAGACAAAGCAGTGTCTCACACAAGCAAAAATCTTGCCAAACAAAAGTTCTCCTTGATCTTTTACATTCACCCAAGATGTCATGAAGCAGGCGGGCAGCCATAACCTGATTCCTCAGGCTATTCACATTCGAGCTGGCTTTCTTGATGGACATTTTTTAAGTTTGAAAAAAAAAAGGAAAGACCCTATT